CACTTTTTTTGAAACAATTAATTGTCCTATGCTACGCACACAAAACACATGCAGGGAATTAAGCAAATGATTAGTGAGCAGTTTTTCATCATTTACCCTCAATTAATGACCAGAAGTTAAAACCGAGGAGGTAGCAACATGATGTTAGCTGAGTAGAAAGCTCTAGTGATTGTTCTCCACAGACACCAATTTCAACAGATATTCACACAACAAACCACCTTCCCATAAGCTTTGGAAGCCAGTAATATAATGAAGGAACAGCACAGAAGCTCCAAAATGCAGAAGAGGAAGAGTGCAGACTCAGTGCCAATGTGCTGTCCTAAGTGGTTGCAGCTCCTACCTCATCTGCTGCAGGCTGGTAAGGCCATCTTGATGGGAAAATTAAAAAAAAAAAAATAAGAAGGCACTGCTGCAACCCTGACTGCAAAGAATTCCACAGTCCTGACTTGCTATAAATCCAACTGAGAATGACATTCCTGCATTCTAACAGGGCCAAGTGAGCCTCATGGGTCCGGCTGGGTCTAACAGGGCAGTGGTGGCCACAGAACCCAGTCTAATACAGCCCTCTCCACTTCAGTGGACAGTAGGTGCAGAGCAGCTTGGACAGGCAGCTCCTAGGACTCTGAATATAAGAAGAAATGCTCCATCATAATTGGGAACCATACTCTTGCCCACAGCTTCCCCTCCCCAAATCGCATGAAAAATTGCAGATTGTGCTGGGTTGATATGCAGCTGTGTAGTCTGAATAGAGAGGCTTAGAGCTCCCTGCACACAGGGGACTGATCTCTCAGTGGGGTCAGAGGGTGCAATACACAGTGATTCAGTGCTCTGGGTAGTGTTCACATCTGGTTGGAAGAAGGGACTCAACAAACCAGTAAGCTTCAACAAACGTGTCCTCAACTGACATTAGCCAGATGTGTTCCACCACTCCTTTATCAGGTAGAACTCTGGGCTATTGATTGTTCCACCCATGAACTTTGTCTAGAGCTGCCAAGAACTTCCACTTCCCAGGGACTTTCAATGGGCTGTTTGTGGTGAGCCTAAACAGCACACAGATAGTAGCGTAGGACAGCTTATCCCACTGCTATAAAGACAAAATCACCATCACATATCCAGCCACTCTCTTGGGCAGGGATTATACCACCTCTTCCACTCAGCATTACTAAAAACCATGCATCAGGGATGTAGGCAGCAATTAGGATTCCTTATGCCCACCCAGCTGCTACAGCCAGGCCTAATCTTACAACTCCAATGCCAGACCCACAACACCAGCAAGGCCTAATCCTAACATCTGAGTAGCTC